CCAGAGTGCTCAGGACCTCAGACTGGGCCGAAGGTTCAACTTCCAACAAGACAATGACCCTAAGCACACAGCTAAAATAACCAAGGAGTGGCTTCACAACAACTCAGTACATGGCCCAGCCAGTGCCCTGACTTAAACCCAATTGAGCATCTCTGGAGAGACCTGAAAATGGCTGTCCACCAACGTTCACCATCCAACCTGACGGAACTGGAGAGGATCTGCAAGGAGGAATGGCAGAGGAGCCCCAAATCCAGGTGTGAAAAACTTGTTCCCAAAAAGACTCATGGCTGTATTAGCTCAAAAGTGTGCTTCTACTAAATACTGAGCAAAGGGTCTAAATCCTTATGACCATGTGATATTTCAGTTTTTCTGTTTTTATTACATCTGCAAAAATGTCAACAATTTTGTGTTTTTCTGTCAATATGGATTGCTGTGTGTACCTTAATGAGGGAAAAAATGAACTTAAATGATTTTAGCAAACAGCTACAATATAACCAAAAGTGAAAAAAGGGGTCTGAATTCTTTCCGTACCCACTGTATTTCTGTCACAAAGCAGGTGAAATCATTCAAGCTAGTTCTGAGAGACATTTATAGATTTCAGCAGATTATCCAAACAAATGCTGAGTTGTTGAAACTCACACTTGAAGAATAATGTATGTCTTTCAAAATTGTGACAAAGTCTATTTTGCAAGGTATTTTTAATGATATCTTTATGGGAACTTTAGTATAGTAGCTCTCGCAGCCAACGTGCAATCATCAATGGTGATGGATGGATGGATGGATGGACTGCCGGACGGCCGGCCGGACAGACAGACAGATAGACAGACAGACCGACAGACAGATAGATAGGTAGACAGATAGATAGATAGATAGATAGATAGTTAAGAGTACTGCATATACTGCCCATGTACTGAAGCAAAAGAAAAGTGCAGCACCGGCTGGCAAACACAGTCCATTCCTCCCCTCTTCTCCTTCCCTCCCCCACCTTGTTTTTTCATCTCACTGTCATCTCTACTTAGTTCACTTCCTCAGAGCCTGGAAAAACCTCATAATCAGAGAAGAGTGGTCACGTTGGCTAGTCCTTATTCTTCAGTGACTATATCTTAACTTGTTGTTATTATTATTGTTATTATTATTGGCTTTTATTAATATTATTAATGTACCAAGAAGTAATTTTAATATTAAATTTGCATCAGTGCATGTAGCAGACTATTATTGTTGTCTTAGAATATTTTTTCCATACCCTTCTTTAGCACTGATGATTTCTTTTCTTTCTGAATCTTTTTTTTTTTCAAAACTGTATGAACATTTGACGGAAACTCAGTGTCATTCCTCTAACCACAAAGGAAAAGCTGAGAAGCAGGCTGGTACCTGGTGATAATGAGGAATTCTTTGATGGAAACACTGTTACATGAGTGTGTTTGGCTTAAATTACTTTAAAAAGGTTGACAAACAGCTCTGTTGTTATATTATTTTTATTTTTTTTCCCTTGTTCTGTGTTTCTTCATTTATTTAGCACCTTCAATAGCAACAGTTCCAAGGTGAATGTTTATGGGGTTTTTTTTTTCAACTACAGCAGTGACTATTCCTGATTGGGCATCCGAAAAGCCGGGACATGGTGACGAGTTGGGAAGCGAGGATGAACTGCTGTATGATGACATCCGCTCTCCTGGATATCGATATGGCCATCCGGGAGGAGGTGGTGGGGAGCAGCTTGCCATCAATGAGGTAGGACATAAGATCACGCATGTTTGAACATGTCATCAGTTATTGTCAGTCAGTGCTAGATAGATAGAGATTACACTATTCTCAAAATGTTAAGCTACTAGTTATCTGAACCATCTAAACCAGGGGTGTCAAACTCATCCTGGTTCAGGGGCCACATATAGCCTGATTAGATGTCAAGTGGGCCGGACCAGTACAATCATAACATTATATAACATTATATAACATTATAACCTATAAATAACAATAAGTTGATGTTTTTCTCCCCTTGTTTTCCTGCAAATAATTACTAGTATATTAGAAAATATTCATATTTAATTAAATAAAAATTGACAAAACAGCACCAACATGAAGCATTTTTTCACTTCATTAAATTTAGCGGCTTGGTTTTGGCCCACGGGCCATATGTTTGACACCCCTGCTCTGATCTGATGTTGGAATAGCCTGGAACACTGTCAGTGTTGATTTGTCATCAATTGTGTACTAGGTGAAAACATGAACTTATGACAGTTAACAAAGGTAGATATTCTTTTAAATTCTTCATGTGAGTTGTTTCACTGGTAGGAATGGAAGCTTTTTTGTTTGTTTGTTCGTTCGAGAGAAGGGACACATCATTTGGAGAAACCCAGAACATAATTATGCTAAGATTGTGTCGATAATATCGGTTGCCCAATATTATTGGACATCTCTACTACGGGTTGGCCAATATTATTGGACATCTCTACTACTTTTTTGGTCACATCATCTGGGCGAAACCTAGGCATTGTGTTATCAGGCATATACTGTATATCGGTATAGGATGCTATCAGAATAGGAAATTAAGTGCTCGAACAATATCGACATATTGGATATCAGCAAAAATGTAATATCGGAAATATATTCTTCACAACTGAAGAAGCCTCTTGGATAAGAGGTAAAATGTCCTCAAGAAACCTACTCTGTCCAGTTGCCCTTGATGTAATTTTTGAATCTTGCATCATTACGTGCTCATCGAGGCGACCCAGCCATGTCAAGCCCTGACTTGTGTATGCAGTTTGATCCACAGTGATCTTGATGCATTTTCTGCAGATTCTGTGATGTTCTTGATTCCCCTTCTTGAGTGCCATCACTCCCAACACTTTCAGTGTCCTAATGAGGGACTGAACGGTGAAACCTTTGCGTCCAACCTTGGTACAGTTGCATCAGATTCACCATCTCATACATCCATATCCTTGATCTAGCCCGAAACATGGCATCTGTCAATCGAGGTTTCCACCATTTTGTAAGAGATTGATCTATAGCCGTTGTGTAGGTCTGCTAGCTCTCCACAGAGTGACTACCACTGTGTGCTCTGTGGATCATGGTACCCTGTGGATATGAGGCTGTGACAGCAGCTCGATTGTTGGTTGTTGCCAATAAAAGTTCTGAAAAAGCACAGTCTCCATCGGGTTTGTTAATGTTGGAGGGCCATTACAACATGTAGAAAAAGCGAACCTGTTGACCAGGAAAATTTTGTTTTTACATGGAGTTAGTCGCAGCAAACAGCAGTGAAGACTACATGGACAGTGTGCTCTACAATTTGGTCTGACAAACCCCGAGAATTTTAAAGCTGACAGCACAGCAAAATTATGCATATGGCCAAAATGTGTAAACCAATCCAACTCTCTCGTCAGAATAAAGGCAAGAACAAGACTTTTTTAGTCAATTTTATACGTAGGCGGAGTGGAGACAAAACAGCGAAACGCTGTAAGGTCAAAGACAGCGTAAACCCAGAATCCGTTGTAATTGCCTTCAATAACACTAAGGGGAATGTAAGTCCGTTAAAGTGTCAGCACTGGTAAATAACTCACTCACTGTCAATGCATGTAACTGTACCATTGTATAGGTTACGCTTTGTTTTATTTTGTCATCAGTTCTTGTAAACCTAAAATACATACCTTTCGAGCTCTTAATAGAACTTTTGGAATGATGAGCTCTTCATACTGTACATTTCCAGATGAGGAGAAGAGTCAACATCAGGAAGTGTCTTGAATCTATAATAAAGAGCACTGCACTTATGGAGGGATGTCCAGCAGCCCATGTTCCCATGTTCATTGCTAGGTTCAATACATGTCAAGATTACGGATGTTTCCAGATCATAAAAACACCAAATTTTTACACACCACTGAAGATTTTTCCATTTGATTAGGACCTTGAGTCTTTAAATAGCATCTCAAGGCCATTGTTTGTGGTTGGTGAGGCATTAACTTCAGGTCAGAGGCCCAGCTCGCGTCAGACTAGCCTGACCAAGAGCAGTGCAATAAATAAGTCTAGTCTGTCGAATGGATAGCAAGGGACTGTTGACCGATTAAAACTTGAGGACAGCAGCTCCACCAGAGTTTAAGAACCATTCTACAAGCCACCATCAAGATGCACAAGAATTATCCACCAACTCTAGGAAGTCAAATTTCAAAGTTTTGTTCTATACAAATAATTACATTCAGTTGGATTAGTTGCAGTTAACAGCATGTTGAATGTTGTAATGTTAACTAATCTCTATTAATCCAAATGAATCAAGATTAATCCAGAGTTTACCTGTGATTAATCAGATAAAAACAATTTAATAGCCCTTACATTCATATATATATCGAGATCTTTACATTTTATAATCTATGAGCTCTAATTTTTTGTCATGAGCCTACAGAGGAGTCACTGTACTTCTGTTCGCCGCAGCATAAATATAAAAAAGGCTTACATTTATACAGCTATAATTGTATGTGATGACTTGGTAATTTTGCTTTATATGATGTCATTTCTGTGTTCTTAAAGCTATAGTATGCAAAGTATAGCCTGTATACAAACTAAGCCTGTGAAGGTTTACAAAATATTTCTCGCCCGTCTTTGTTTACTTTTTGGTATAAGTAAATGTGAGGTCAACGAGATGAAATACGTACCAGTGAAAAATAGACCTAGTAAGTGACAGTAATGCAGCTCTTGAGATTTTGATCTGCTGATTACCTAGTAAGTGACAGTAATGCAGCTCTTAAGATTTTGATCTGCTCATTAGAAGAGAGAATGCTTGTTGGCAGTGTTAGCCTGGACTAGCCTAGTTAATTTGGTAAATGTTGTAAACCAATGGTTCATTTTTTAAATTCTGCTAAAACAGCGGTTTGTGGTCACTAGTACACTTTGGGTGACGTCTTTATGGTATTTACCTGCTCGTAAACACTGTTTTCAGCATGGTTCATTACATGGTATTTACCTGCTCGTAAACACTGTTATCAGCATGGCCCACACATTACATGCTAGGGTGTTGTTGGCTAGCTGCTAGCACACTGGTTACATACCATGTAACCAGTTTGATTGGGCATTTGAACAGCATTATTTCTTGTACAAAACTAAATGGGTTCACACTACAGGACTCGCTTTATCTTTGTTAATGTCGATAGGGTACACTTGAATCATGAAACAAGGCTTTAGATTAGCACAAAGCACCACCTCTAGGCCGGGAAAGTGCATCTATGTTCAATACTAACAAACTCAAAGTAATGATAAAATGGTCAGTCACCACATAGCGTTGTTGTTGTTGCAAATTATTAAATGGTAGTTATTATCAAATGGTGGCTATGACCGAGTCAAAGGCACACAGGCATGAACACAGACACTCCTTAACCTTTCCTCCATTGATCAATCCATTATTTTGATTGCCTCCTTCGAACTGATTCCACCGTTTTCTATTTCGATGGTTGCTCAGTGGTTGCTATGGCCCTGCCTCTCTTACTCTGGTATCCAGCATACGGTGACACCTCCTGCATTGTGATTGGCTGTTGCTCACGCAAGGGTAGGGTGGGAAAAAAAACACAAAATAAATAAATATAAGAAAGGAAGAGGAAAAGGAGGGGATTTTTGTAGTTAGCTCAATGGATAGCTGGGGAGCGCTCCATGCGCAAAGGGAAAAAAAAATAGGCGGTCAGAGAGATAGAAAGACAGAGTGAGAGGAAAAAAAGGTGAAGAAGGATGATGGGATTGAAATGACTGAGCTCATGCTGGCTGCAGTGAAAGAACAAGACTGAAGAATTGCCGGAATTAGCATCGACTGAAAGGATACAGCATTTTATTTGACATCTTTTTTTTTTCCTGACATCCTTACTGAGGAGGAGACACATTTGGTGGAACACAGCAAGGAGAAGGTGAGGGGAGGTGCCTGGTCATCAAAGAGGAATACTAGAGTAACAACGGGGGTGGGAGGGATGCACAGCACATAAAAATCCCTGTCTGCCTCTCAGAGCCCGGTTCTCTTACACCGCTGACACAGATAAGCACCCAGCCTCCACTGGCAGGCCCGGGTGAAAATCAGTCGGCAAAGTGGCTGGAGAAGCAAACGAAGCGGGTATTATTGCCCAGCAAAGAAGGAGGAGTGCAGTTGAAGACTGCAACAGGGACGGCGGGGCTGGAGGACGCGGCGACAAAGTGCGGTGTGAACGCTCAGGGCTAATAGAAAGGCAACGGGGGAGGGGCGCCTGTGCTGAGAAGGAGGAAAAAGAGGAGGCTGCAGGACTCATGGCTCGCGGCACCGGCTCAGGGCGTTGGAACCGGCAGAGGACGGGAATGTTTAACACCTTGCTGCGCTGCAACCTTCCTCCAGAGACACAGAAGGTGGTGGTTTTCATCATCATGATGCTGCTCATCGTCATCAACGTTGTGCTCATGTTTCTGCTGGCCTTCCAATAAAACAAGTACACGCTCACACATTCCAGCTTGCACTGACCCACACGCATACGCACATGCTTGAAGATGGGAACATAAACAGATACCCAGAACGGGTATGGCACCCGAGGCGGGTATGGACTGATCTTTTGAAGAGCAAATTGCTGCTGGAATGAATGGGTCTCCATCGAGGTGCAACAAGGATCATTCAGTGTGAGGAGGGATAGCGTTGCGTACTTGTTTGTGAAGTTTATTTTTATTATATCTGCTTTTTTTTTTTAAACAACAAATGGTTATGTTGAATTGTACAAAACCCTGCTTTATTCTTTAACAACCACCAGAGCTAATTATGCAAATTTTAATTTGTAATTTTTTATGATGTCCATATCTGTGTAAGAGACCTGCATTAATTGATATGGACCGCCCCCCCCCTTCCCCCTTCATATGTTGGGCTTCTGTTTCCTAACATTTGTAAACATGTACTAACATTATAGATTAATTGCAATTGTTGAATGATTTAAAAGTGTGAACCAAGACAGTGTAATGAAAGTTTCAAATGTAGTTGAGTAGAGGTCTGCTTCAGTACAACATGATGTTAGATTTGTAAATCTGACCTTTTTTTCCAAGATAAATAGACAATGACGCACATCAGCTACAGGTCCAGATGTTTTTCTGGACAGACACCTTGGGGGTCGGACACCCTAATGAAATGAATTGCAAATCACAGTTTTGTTTAACTTTATTATTTGATGATTGTTTTGGATTTCAGTTGCGGGCTGGATTGGACGGTTCAGTAGGATGGATTTGGCCCCTGGCCGCCAGTTGATGATTGCTCTCCAAATATCTGCATTGTACAATAGCAGCCTGGTTGTAGTTGAATCTGTGAACTACCTTATTACACTGTACATTGTGTATGCATATGCATCTTTAATGCTTTGATTTTACGGTATACACAAATGAAAGAGTTCCGCAACTGCTGACGGTACGTGTTGGTTGTTTATGAATGACCTGTGGCAAAGAGGAATAAATATGTTTTCTGGAATATTTGTGAAAATGATTGCTTCTTTTTAGTATTAAAGAAAAGGAAAACAGCATTCAGAAAGCTTTCAGATGAGTATCACCTTATGGTAGGTAGGCAACGTTTTTGGCTAAAATGAAGTTCAAATTGTGACTTACACACACACACACACACACACACACACACACATATATATATATATATATATATATATATATAACTTTAAATTATGTAAATTATGTTATTTTAAATGTACAAGATTAAAGCTAAACTTTCAAAGATAATTTGGAACATTTGATATCTGGCAACATTTAGTGGCATCAACAGAAATTACAATCGATTCGTTGTAATGCATGAAACATTGACATTAGTCATCACCATACCTTATACCAGTATTTGGCAGGGCGAATTCGAAGCCCAGTGTACCGTATTTGGAGTTTGCCAAGATCTGCCTTAAGATCATTGCCCTTTCGAGTCTTTTTACCTTTTGGTAACAACAGGTCCACAGGCATCAGAAATGAGCAGAACAATTTATTAGCCACATTTTCTGATCAGTACTAACTAACAATATTCAAAAACCCTTCACAGTAAAGGGAAAGCGAAGAGAAATCAAACAATTATTTGAGGTTTTCTGTAATTATGTTGTTGATATTCATTTTCACTACCCTCTCAGGTGTGCTATCATTAAAATGGTACAAGCCGTTTTCATAACGATCATATGTCTCACTGGGATCTACACCACAGTCTACCAAACTTTTTTTCTGTGGACCCATATTTTAAAAGTCACAAACCTTTGCGACCCAAGTCAATAGACATTATTCGTAAACTCCTGGGAAACATGACGCGAGACGACCCAAAGAAAACTCTTGCAACCCACCCGAGGGTCCTAGTTTTTGGGAAACAGTGATCTACACTACAGTCGCTTTCTCTCATCCCCTGTCAGCGATCATGTTTTACTGATAGCATTACTTCTATATCTTTTATCTCTATGTACGTTATCCACACCATCTCAATTCCTAAGATACACTTATTTTCCATTTCATTTGAATTTACTCTTAAACAAATGTATCTGCAATACAATGGCATTTCATTTACTTCTTGACCTTTCATCTTCTTTTGTTTTGGCAACTTGGCCTGAGATAGTGGTTTATAAGAAAAGTTTTGCACCCCCCACTCAAAAAAAAGTGGCCTACTTTGGCGTAAGTCTTACAAATCTTACATGCTGTATTCTAATACAGCATAGAAAAACTGTTATTTTTTCAATTTGTGATTGTCAGGTATTGTGACAGGTGTCTGTTTCTTTCTCTCCGGAATACTGTTTAGGAATCCATCAAAACAGAACAGTAAGATTGGCTCACCCAACCTTAAAAAGGTCCATTCCCAACCCTTGGGCTAGTTAAGAATGGATTCCTGGGTGCAGTGATATAAATGAACAAAGCTGTAAGATTAGTTATTCTTGCGAATAATTTTGTGAATGATTAAAAAAAAAGTAAAGACAATAGTTTACACTGCCTTCTAATTCAGGATTCGCCGCACACTTGATAACCGATTTATTTGAATTCAGAAGGGGATGGAGATAAAATGATAATTCTGCGCGATTGCTAAACTGACACAGAGATGTCATTTGATCAGTAGCGTAGTAGTTTTATGGCTTTGCACCTGAATCAATTAATCTAGGATCAAACCCCCCATCTCTTTTGGGTCATATGCATTGGGAGTTGAGAGAGCGGACATAACTTGCAGGCGGTGTGCACGCAAACTTGTAGTGAAATTACTTTTGCGAACACCGTACTTAGGCACAATGCGAGAACGGCATAAAAGCCCAGTTTAAAATGAGCCTTGTAAATCTGTCCAGATTGTCTTTAGCTGTAATTAGCTCCAAAAACTTTATTTAAAAAAAAATACTTCAATGTTATGTTTAGTGCTGCATGGAAGGTTCCATAGTGTAGCGGTTAGCACGCCTGCCTTAGAAGCAGAGAGTAGAGAGTCCTTGATTTGATTCCCAGAGGAACCAAATGCTTGGCGCCTGATGGGGATAGCCTGTTAACAGCATTTCTGCTGTTAACACAAGAATTTCCCAAATATGGGATCAAATTAGTTTAAAAAAAAATTGATGAAAATGAAAGATTGCGATTACGGCATAAATGTCATGCGTCTACCTACTTGAATATCCAGAACAAGGAGAATAATGATAGTTTGTGTATTTCTCAACTTGAAACATTCAAATATGAAACATTTCATTTATAACTTTATATCAAAAAAAAAATTCAAGTTTGAAAACTTTAGGTCCTGCGTGACCACAAGTCTGTTGTGGTTGAATGAAACTTGACCGTAACTATTTCAACGAACCTCGTATCTGTATTTGTTGTTAAGTTGCGCGAGGGTAACTGATTTCTTCTGTCCAGCATGCGGATCATTTTGCGACTTCGGCACGTAGCGACTATGGCGTTGTACATTTTACACAGTCTTGCTCTTCAACATCGCTGTAACTGAATCCAAAGTATCGGCATGCAAAAGAAGGTGCTTTTATTTTTCGCCCCCAGCTCAGTTCCTCTACTGCGTCCATGTTGGTCACTGCTTTCTGCTGTAAAAACCAGGTAGTCACGTGACTATACCCAAGGTTGCCCTACAACGTGTGGATGTGACTCCACACTTGTTTACACTAAATCGCAGTTTTTCATGCAGTTATGTAATCGCAAAGTGTGAAATCACAATTGCAGTTGCGATTAGATTAATTGTGCAGCACTAGTTATGTTGTCGTACGATGTTTCTACCTAAGGTTTTACATTTAAATCTTTTGAACTTAAAGTCTATGGCTCCCATCAAAAAAGTAATCTCATTACTTGAATATGACATTTTATTTATTAGTATTTAATACTTTCATGTGTAATGTTTACCTGAAAGAAAGTGTTAGAGCAAAAAAAAAAAAGTATATGTGCCAGTTTCCGATCTTAATATTTAATGAGAAGACATGTTGGGTGCTGAAGAGAAACGTTTTGGTAAAGATGGTGTCAGTGTGTTGCCTAGCAACAGCTATAAGGGCTGTTTTGTTATTTTCCTATGTGTCACCACAATGGATCATGGGTGTCGGAAAATATAATTGAAAATAAATGAAATGAAAGATAATGTCTCGCACATCAGCAGTGATGTCGGTTTGTTGTCTGTGATGCTAAGGCTTAGCAGCACTTAGCATAGTGAATAAGCCTCCCAGAGCCACGGTTAGAGTTGGTATGAGAAATATGATCACTGCAGTGTCATAACTTGTAACACTGGCTCAGCATCGCCTCCTGCATTTCTGTCACCCAAATACCACAGGTTGAAGATCAGTGTCACACTAAAAATAACACAATATCCAGCCTTAAAAAAGCATGCTTAATTATCGGTCTGTGCTGGGACGCAATTTCACACATCATGTTCTTTTTTTTCTTTTTCAGCAGTAGGAGCAAAGATATTCAGTAAGAGCAAAGATAAAAGGCTAATTTTATTTTTTATATTTTTATTTTATGGTCTGTATTGTCATTGTACCACGTGGATACTACGAAACCGAGCCTCTTTTAACCCCTCACCTAACGGAAGCAGTGGGCAGCTTTTAAGCGCCCGGGGAGCAGTGTGTGGGGACGGTGCCATGCCCAGAGCACCTCATCTAATAATTGTTATTATTATGGTTCGTTTGTTGTGCCATGTTGGAGTTCATGTTTTGGAGTTCATGCCTTGTGAACTAGTGAGTTTGTGTTCTTTTGCACTTATAAACCTGCTGCACCTGAAAAGAGTTTCCTTTGTGCTGCATTTGGGTCCTGCCTGCTTCCTGCTGTTGGCTATGATGGCTAAACGTAAAACCGACTCACGCTGAAAAATTTGAGTCATGTTACCAGTAGAAACCATCTAGTTCTAACCCTTACCTACATCATTTAGGATGGTACGTATCTTGCGAACGTATCTAAATGTCAATAGTACACAGTGTTATTAGGTCATCACAGAATCATGATTCTGAGATGTTTTGACATCCTTGCCAAATCCTGACAGGAATAAGGAACTCTTGGTAATGGTCCTGTACTAGATCCATCCATCAATCCATCCATTTTCATCCGCTTATCCGTTACCGGGGCGCGGGGCCGCAGTCACCACTCAAATCACATTGCACCATACCAACCCCCCAAACCTTCCTGTGGGTGGTGAGTCCACTGGAAAGTATTAACCGCCCTAACCGGGATTCGAACTTGCCCAGGAGGTGAACCCTGGGGTTCCACACTAATGACAGAGACATTGCCTCTGGGCCAAAGCGCCACCTGTACTAGATATGATTTAATATTTTAACCTGAATAAAGTATGTTCTGTCCAATAATAAATTTATACATGCTAAAAAGTGGAAAAGGAAGAATGTGATCTCTTTCCTGTCTCTTCAGCTGATCAGTGATGGCAGCATGGTGTATGCAGAGGCACTTTGGGACCATGTCACAATGGACGATCAGGAGCTGGGCTTCAAAGCTGCCGATGTCATCGTAGTAGTGGATGCTACAAACAAGGAATGGTGGTGGGGTCGCATCATGGACATCGAAGGCTGGTTTCCTGCCAGCTTTGTGCGGGTAAGAAGGAGTTTTAGGACCAACAAATTAAATAGATACTCTAATTTCTTTGAAATAAAATATGAATACACTATTATTTACTAGCTGCACATCTTAATAGTTACTGATATTAATGTGTAAGTCAGTTGGCTTTGGTATCCTCAGTTACGTGTGAACCAGGACGAGCCCATGGAGGAATATATGGCCCATTTTGAAGACATGCACGCTAAAGAAAAAGACCAGGCAGATTTAGGTTTGTTGCTGGGACCTGGATTACCCTGCAAAGAACAGATGAGGAGTAATGTCATCAATGAGATCATGAGCACAGAGAGAGACTACATCAAGCACTTGAAAGACATCTGTGAGGTTTGTACCAGATCAGTCTTCTTCCCAATGTATCCCTGTTACAGTCCATCAGCTTTATAGGCTCTGACCACAATAGATATACAGTGGTCCCTTTCCTATCGCAGTAGTTGCGTTCCAAGACCCACCAAGACAAAGGAAAATCCGCAAAGTAGAGGCAAGATCATTTTTTTAGCTTTAGTTTTTTAGTAAATAATTTAAATACACGACCATGAAAAACAATGTAAAGTACATTCTAATTATAAATTAAAATGTATAATGGAGGGGTGGGCGGGGTGACGCAGGTGCAGCACCGGACACAGATAAGCACAATTTGAGTTTTCAAGCCTATAAATAAAATCAATATAATTTGACAAAAGATTTTTCACTTTTCAAAATTCAAGCGGGCTGGATTGATCCCCCTACAACTAGTGTTGTCAATAACGATGTTTGTGATATTGTGATTGACTGCAGATTGATTTAAGCACAAAACCATGCTGTTGGACAAACAGCAAACAGGAACGGATTAATCCATTTTACAATGTTTCCTATGGGGGAGGAATTTTTTCAGAAATTGTTCAAAGTCATCAGGCGATTGCAGGGTACACCTGGGACACTTAGTTGGTCCTCAATCTATAATATTTTTGAGGCTGTCATTGGCCCATTCAGCTTTTTAATCCGGCCCGCCCAACTTTTCCAAATGATATAATTCATTTATATTATCATTATACTTCTGCCTTTTCTCTGCAATACCCAGGTTTCCCTAATAGATGGCGTAGAAAATGATAAAAGCATTTGAGCCTTTATGCATGACTTTTACATGTCATTTATCTTAGTTCACACGAACACTCCATCTATCTGTTCCTGACCCCACCCACTGTTTAATTTTAGGACAATCATGGTCCGTGAGTCAAAAAGTGTGCCCACGCCTGCTCTAGTGTTGTACATTATTAAATGTCATTAATACCGTACTAATGTTGTCTTATGCCCAGAGGAACTTTCAAATGAAACGCGTGCAGGTATTTCACAAGGTTCTTTTCATCACATTTCCCCTGCTTACCCAAAGAAACCTGGACTGTAAGACCAACATTATTATTGACATTCATTGCTAGCCAGATGTGAAAGGCCTGGATTTGGAGACCCCTGCTGCAGACACATTGAGACCACTACAGAGCCCCCTGATATGATGTGTGTGTGCTGAATGTGGTCATTGTTTTTAACTAGCATACAAGTTGGATTATATAAGAAAACAAAAACAGAGGTAAACAGGGACACAGTGGGAGTGGAGTGAGGGAGAGGAATGTAGGTGAGCATCTTAGGTGTTCAGCTCACTGTTTTGTTTGTTTCTCTTTTAATCCAGGGTTATATCAAACAGTGTCGTAAGAGGACAGATATGTTCAACGAGGAGCAGCTTTGTACCATCTTTAGTAACATCGAAGAAATCTACCGATTCCAGAGGAAATTCCTGAAAGATTTGGAAAAGAAGTTCAACAAGGAAGAGCCACACCTCAGCGAGATTGGATGCTGTTTTGTGGAACATGTGAGATGAATCAAAACAGTTTAAATATATATATAATTTTTATCATTTAAGCTAAACATACTTTTGAACCAGCTCTATTTCTGATCATCAGAGCAAAACCTCCAAAAATCTGTTTCAGGTTGCTGGTATACTGTAGGTCAGTGTGTGTGTATATATATATACATATATGTGTGTGTGTATATATAGCCTATATACACACATATATGACTATATATATGTATATGTATGTATGTATATATCAGGTGTCCTTGGGTGACAGAAAGAAATGAAATAAATGTAAATGTAAATGTATTATTATCATTATTATTATTATATATAAACATGTTTTTATATATATTTATATATATAAGCCATGTGCACAAATATATAAACTTATAAACTTGCATTCACACTATCCTTCAGTTCATCTGTGTAGTGTCTGAGAATTGTGTGTTTATAATGTCTTAGGGACATTCTGTCTGTCTAACCTTTATTCTTCCCATGTTTCCTGGTTTCGTACAGCAATCCAATTTCCAGATCTACTCGGAATACTGCAACAATCACCCTAGCGCCTGCATTCAGCTCTCCAAGCTGATGAAAGTAAACAAGTACATATTTTTCTTTGAAGCTTGCCGACTGCTTCAGAAGATGATTGACATTTCCTTAGATGGCTTTCTTCTCACTCCAGTCCAAAAGATCTGCAAGTACCCATTGCAGCTGGCAGAGCTGCTAAAATACACAAACCCACAGCACAGGTAATGCAACTTGTGGCTTAACTAATTGGTCCTTTTTTCGGCAAATTTTTGTCGCAGCCCAAAATGTGTATTTCTGCTGGGTGTATTTCACAATATTGGGATACAAGTTGATATATTTTTCAGCAGATTGAACACGTGATGAAGAAGAAAAATAGACGTTTGTTGACGTTGCGATAAAGTTGCATGGATTTTTCCAAACATGCGCGATAAAGTTGCATGGATTTTTCCAAATATGCAAGAATGCTCTGAATTTACAGGAACTGGTTAATTTTACTATTTATATAGATATATTTTGTACAGGAACTGGTTAATTTTACTATTTAATTTTGATATATCACAGTATATATCGCAAAATCCTGGAGTGACTGACTAATTCCAAGTATCTACTTGCAGGATCCACCTACAGCCTGGGACTTGTTTCTTTTGATCACCAATAGATCAATGAATGGTCCGATGGAAAACTGCTGCATTCCTGAATTAATGAATGCAATTCTGCATTTCACCTCTACATAC